ACTTCACAATTGTGTCCCACTTGTTGGTGATTCTTCACATAAAATAAAAAATTTATATCTTTATGTTTGAAGCCTGAAATGTGGCAAAAGGTTTAAAAGTTCAAGGGGGCCGAATACTTTCGCAAGGCACTGTAAATACACCCCATAAAGAAACAAGTAATAGGTTTATTCCATGCTGAAAAGAGAAGAAAGAAAACGCAACATTTCAGCTGTAGAGCCTTCTTTGGTGGTGAGAAAGACAGGGCAGACAGCAAAGATTAAATAGCATAGGAGAACAAAAGCTCTCAGGTGGTGCAAAGTGGAGAGAGGTGTGAAGTCAAAACCTGCATGTGAATAGAAAAGATTACATGAAAACAAGTCTGTCTTTGAGAGAAGAGGGAAGCCGTGAACCAAGTTTCAGGTTAATTTTTGTTTCTGATGTCTTTCTGCTATGAGAGTTAAGAACCCCTTCTTTGAGAACACAGATGGAGATTGTTCTTCACAGCCCTAACATGTTCTCTGAAGCGATCTCCTAGTCTCCTTCCGGTTTCCCCAATGTAGATAGCTGGGCATTTCCCACAAGAGATACAGTAAATGAGGTTGCTTGAGGTCGCCTGGGTCGTGAAAAGAGGTTGCCTGGGTGATCAGATTGTCCTGAGGGGCCTTGAATGAGTGTGGTGTTATATATGTACTTGCGGGAGATGCAGCAAGCTCTGTTGCAGGGGAAAGTACCTGGTGTGGATGATTGTTGAGGGCGGTTAAGGGAGCTGTGAACAAGAAGGTTATGGAGATTAGGTGGTCAGAGATATGAGATGATGGGGCAGACAGAAAAGAGGGCCCCAGTGGAGGCATCAGCCTGTAGGATGGAAAAGTTTTCGTTAATGGTCCTGGGGATAGAAAGTGTGTTAGGGTGGAAGGGAATGGGAAGGAATGCAATTGTTAGGCTGGGGCTTCCTGATGAAGGGCCGGGGGCTGTTTTTGGCTCGGATGAGGGCACTGTCAATAACATGAGTGGGGTATTCTCTGTTAATGAAAAAGGAGTGCATTTTGAGTGCTTGGTTATGGAAATCCATGTCATCACTGCAGAGTTGTCATAGCCGAAGGAACTGTGAAAAAGGGAGAGATTTTAGTGTGTTTGTGTGAAATGAGCTGTACGGGATATACTGTAGTTGTATGAATCCGTGGCTTTGTAATAGACTGAAGTAGAGAGCCGGGGATGGTTAATCTATAGGTTTATGTCTAGAAACAGAAGAGCAGTGGAAGATATGTTCATTGTGTATCTGAGGGACAGGTGGAAGTTGGTGAAGTGATGCAGGAAGTGTTCTAACTGGTCATTAGAGCATGTGGCACCCATTGATGTATTGCTTGTAGAGGTCAGGGACAAAGGCAGTGTAGGAAGTAAAGAAGTGTACTTCTACCCAGCCAACAAAAATATTGGCATAGCTGGGTCCCATTCTGGTGCCCATGGCAACTCTACTAACCTGCTGGTAAAAAAAGGTTATTGAATGAGAAGGCTCATTGAGTGTGAGTACCAATTCTTCAAGACGTACAAGGGTGTGGGTGGATGGATCCAGCACTGTGCATTTGTCCAGCGTGCGCTTGAGGGCTGTAAGACCGTCATTGTGAGGAATGTTAAAGAAAGTTTTAAGTTGATCATTCAATGATTTTGGAAGCTGAATTTACTGTATACTGAATATTATTTGGCAGTTTTCTTCAGGTGTTATATTTAAATTCATATTTCAAATTAAGCCTGCTAACATTCTGTATGATGCCTCCAGCTTCCAAAGTCCTTCCCCTGGTCCTTGCTGTAGAATTTGGCGATGGGTAATGTAGTCCTGCAGTCCTGGAGCTACTTTGGTTAAGGCCTGTTTTGGTTTCACGTGTTTTTGTTTTGAATCTATTTTGTGTGCCTTGTATATGCTGGTAACCAGTTCCTCAACAGGAAAACAGGCCGTAGAAGAACAATCTGGATTAATCTGATGCATTAAGGCTTCCAAAGAATATGACTTCCAGTCTGTCATAGGATGAAAGTTGCATTCTTTCAAGATATGTGTAGAAGACAGTGTGCAATGATTTTTGTACAATAAGATGATATGCACAGGCTTCTGTCACAGTCATCCTCCACCACAAAGGACAGCTAATGACTGAAGAAGGCTCTAACAGAGGAAGCCAATCGTTTTATTTTGCCCCAGAAGTCCAGCAGCGTTTGGCCACATTGTCCACCAGGATGGTGGGGGTGGGCCAGGTGTTGATCCAGACAAAGTGCAAGTACATCACAGTCCAGGGGTAATGACCAGTGTGCTCCAGAAGGGACTCCAGAAGCTGAAAACCAGGAGTAAGACAGGACAGGAAGGCTGGCAAGCTGAAGCTGTCTGATGTGAAATGTGTATTTCCTAGAGATCAGGAAATAGGCCTGGATATCTGGACTAGAAGGATCACTGAGCTGACAGCTGTGCAAAGATTCCCCATGCAGGGTTGCTGTCAGGCTCCAGCTGGCTACAGCACTCCACTAGAACTGTGCAGCAGCAGTCCTCACCACTAGTGCACACACCAAGGGGGGAATATGACATGCCCCCTGCAGGTGGGATGCAATGTGATGAGAGAGCAAGGGGAACAGAAGTGTACACACTGACACACTTCAAGCTTTAAATACTATGTCAGATTTGAAAATCCTCTTTCAGAATGTTTTTTGCTCCTACAGGAACCTGGGGGTCTCTGTGTGCTCCACACTGTGTGATATTGGTGGGATTGGGGTACCATTCCTGCTCTACAGATTAGCAGTTATTTGGTTGGAGCTACCACTGATCATTTTTGGTAAGAAGCGTCACATCAAAGGCAGTTTAGTCAGTAACACCTTGCTTTAATCTTATTATTACTTGTATTTTAAATATAAAGTTTATGTTTAAATAAAAAAATATAGACATATATAGGTGTTTTCTTACAAATTCCACATACAATTTTGGGCAGAAGTCTTAAATGTTGGCAACTGTTTTAAAAAATATATTTTAACTCTATAATCCTGTGTGTTAACTACAGGTGTGCTTGCATTTATTGCTGGTGGCTTGGTTTTTTTGTTGCCTGAAACAAGAGGTGTGCCTTTGCCTGAAACAATAGAAGACATAGAGAACCCAAAGAGGTACAGTTCTTTATTCTCTGGCCTTATATGGTACTAAGATACTGTATATTTCAAGTTAAAATTCACCTTATTCTCTAACATTCATCATTTTATTTTACCACACAAAGAACAAAAAGAAACTATATGAAACCATATGTGAAGAAACATAGAAGAGTGTTTCTGCATCATTGGTCACAATATGTGTGCATAGTGCTGAACTGATTTAAAGCAGCTGGAGAAAATAAATCTTCCAATCTACAAAAAATGGATTTTACATTTCCAAAACCATTTCCATTTCCATTCAAATCTCAAAGTGGCAACGTGAATAGAGATAGATGCAACTTCAGAGGTGTGACAAATAATTCTTTAACCAAATCTGAAAATGGAAAACTGAAGATAAGTATTTTAGTGTGCCTGTTTTTTTTTCAGTGGGTCTTTTGGACAGTTTTTTTATAGTTCAAGTATGGAGTGTTATATTAAAACAAACAAGAGACTGAAACTGAATTAATGAAAAATGGTATAAAATCTTTTTCCACACTACATACTGAACACCAGCCTCATTCTGACTGCCATTTGCTTTATTTTCCCCCCTCTGGCTGAAAAGAGTGGACTTGTTTAAGCAATCCTGTTTCAGAAACCATTTTCAAACCACAGCCAAACATTATGTCACACTACATCTTATATAATTCTGTTTGTATAAAGCAAACATCCGTATGTATAAAGCAAGATAACACTTTGAGTGTTACACAGAATTAAATGCTTCATATTCAAGGAGTAATTTTTTGTATCTACTGTATATAATTATCTGTATAATTATCTGTATCAATAACAAACAGAATATAACAAGACTGTATGAATGACAGTATATAATCTTTAGAATTGTTTGTAAAATTTGCATACCATAATAGATTATTCTATGTAACAATTGCATTGTATGAAGATGGGTGGCATGGTGGAGCGGTGGTTGGCATTTTTGCCTTGGAGTGTGGGGCCCTTTGTTCGCTTCCTTGGATGCTATCTGCAAAGAGTTTGCTTGTTCTCCTCATGTTCATGTGAGCTTTCTCCAGATGCTCTGGCTTCCCTCCATAGTCCCAAAATATACTAAAAGGTTAATTGGCTTCTGAGAAAATTGACTGTGTATGACTGTGTGCATGTTTGGGTCTGTGTGTGCCCTGCAATGGACTGGCATCCCATCTTGAGTAGGTTCCAGTTCTCCAATGTTCCCTGAATTGGATAAAGCACTTAGAAAATGGATGGATGAAGATACAGTGCTTTGCTTAAAAGTAATCATTGTCATGCCCAAGTGGGCTCTGGTGATTTGTGCCGCATGCACACATGAGACAGCACACCCCTCAGTACTGTTAGAACACACCCAGGCAGACTTTCACAGCAGGTGACTAGTTTATTACTTTATTGTTATTATTATTATTATTATTATTATTATTATTATTGTTTGCACTTTCTTTGTTGTTGCAGCTCTTTCCTAGCCACTCTGCTTTGACGCTCAGAGTGTTGTGTTTACATTGCGTGTCTTTGTTTTCTTTTTCTTTTTGGCCACCTTTTTGTTTTGGTGTTCTCCACCTTACCACTGCCTGCTTTTGAGCTCTCAGTCAGGCTCAACTATTTTGCACCTCACCTCCCATATCATTTCAATCATATTTTGATATTTGCCATGTGTTCTTATTTATCATTTTGTTTTTAATGGATACTAACTCATTTTGTTTTTGTGTTTCAGGACCAAAGAGAGCCAGCTCAGAACCTACTAGCTGGTCACGTTACTTCCTACAGAAGTTACTACCAATAAAGAAGATACTTCAGTCTAACCTACAAATGGCTTGCTTTTTAGAAATGAATATAATCTACTACTCCTGCCAATTGTCAGTGTGAGCTGTGTGTGAGCTGAACAATGTTAGTGATTTTCTCAAATTTGTCATTTCTGGTATGTTTTTTATATCTGATCAGTATTACATTTTTACTGTACATAGACATTAAGCAAAGATTTTCATCACAGCAAGAACATGAGGCTGAATTTACACATTAATGTCTTCCAGTTTAAGAGCCATTAATATCCACTCCTCTCTTAAATACTCATGGTAAACACATCTAGTCATAGTTATTATCACAAAGCAGAAATCAGAATCCTATGCAGAAGGTATAATCTGGAAGTAAGTGAAACAGACACTGGGAGGAGACGACGAGGAACTGGGCAGGTAGACAAACAGGGGTGTGTGACGACGGTGCACTGGTGCTCGGGGGGGTCCTGGCCAAGGAAAACAAGTCCAAAGGAGTCCGAAGTAATTTACCAGAGCGAATTGCAAAAGTCCAGAACTGGGTGATCCATCCAGGACAGACGAGACAAGGTTTAAAAACCAGAGCGGGATCCAGTGAAGGGACAGGCAATAAAATGGGTTAACGGGCCCAGGTGCTCCAAGCCCCGGACCCAGATGGTCAGGATGCTGTGGTGAAGTGATGCCGTTGGGTCTCTCCTGGACCCGCTGGTAGGTGGGCTTCCAGGCGTCCATCTTCCAAAGCTGAGCGCAGAATGGTAGGAGCACCTGGTTTATATAGGGAGGGGCTGGATAGGAGGCCGGTGCACAAAATCAACTAAAATGGAAGAATCTTATTTAGGATACTTTTAGGATACTACTTGCCACAAGGGAGCTCAATGAAATTTAAACATTAAATAACCCTTTTTAAAACATGGAAAGCAAGCAACTGTGTTCAGTTTATCATTTTGTTTTTAATTCTACATAAATGTTCATACACTTTCACTATCACTATCAGAAAGCTGAATATTCCTAGGCAGACGACAGAAGCATAGAGTAAAAAGTGGGACTATACCCTAGATTGGATGATAGATTGCGCACATACATATTTCTTTATATTATGTGAATTTAATCCATCACCATGATAGATACAGTGTCCTCTAAAAGTACTGGAACAAGAGTTTAAATTAGCCTATTATAGCTGTTTGCTCAGGAAATTTGGATTTCAAATCTCAAGATGAATATGAGACAAAAACAGAGAATATCCCCCTTTAACTATGGGTATTTTTATGCATAAATGTTTTACCATTTTACAACAACAGTACAGTTCAACCCTCTACCTTTTAGATGAGTATACGTATTGGGACAAACAGGTTTACAGGTATTTCTCTAATCACAAAAATAAACAAAGGAGACATGATTGGCATTAAAACATTTCAGTCATTTAAACCTTGTACATTCTGAACTTTTAGCAAAGGGTCTGTTATGCACTGGAAGGTGCAAAACATGTGTTCTTTGTTTCTGTCTGAACAGTAATTTTATCTTTTTTATACTGTGTGCTTTGAAGATTCATGAGTTACACATAGTACATAGAACTACACAGCAAGATATTTTAAATTCTTAAACTTTGGAAAGGTTGCAGAGTTCCCCTTGTGTGAGTAGATTTTCTTGTTTTATCATACGCAACATCAGGAGACTCCTCTGTTCTTTCCTCTTGTGACTACACCCCCATTCCCAGAAAAGCATAGCCTGAAGTGTAGCTTTGTTTACATAGTACTTCACATCTAGGAACAGTCCGACTCACTTGTGGGCTCCACTGGGTTCAGTATCAGTTGCAATAACACTCTCAGCTCTTTTGGCTTAACCTACCATTTTTAGTCTGTTTCAGAATATCTTATTTATCTTTAACAATTACAAAACCAAAACAACTACAAAAACATGTTTTTAATTTTGTTGCCCCTTTTTAATGAATTTATTTTTTTCCAAAATGTTCACTTTTATCACAGTCGAATATTCCACCTTAATTTCTGGAAACTTTTGGGTCAGTTGGTGAAAAAGAAAAAAGTTTATTAACTGGGGCTTGTTACCATGAAGTGGTCTGAATGCAACCTAATTTTGAATTTAGCTGCTTTTCAAAACATATCTATATTTCCACCATGCAAAGTAAAATCCAATGAGGTGGATGCCAAAAACATTAAAATGAGTAAAAAAGAACCATACTGCTATGCAAATATCCTAGATATTTTGTATTGTTTTACTCATTTCCATCCATCCATTTTCTAAACATTTATTCCAATACATGGTCACAGGGGAGTTGGAGCACAGCAAGCAAATGGGTGCAAGTTGGGATACATTGTGGATAAGATGCCAGCCCATTGCATGGAATACACACACACCAAGGCCAATTTTCCCAGAAGCTAATCAACCTACCTGTATGTCTTTGGGCTGTGGGAGGAAACCAGAGCACTTGGCAAAAACTCAAAAAACACTGGTAGAACATGTCATCTACACTTAGATGACAACCCAGATCTAGAATTGAACTTAGGAGGGCCCTAGTTCTGTGAGGGGGCAAAACTAACCACTGCACCGCTGTGTTACCGCTGTAACTGTCATAATGTAAGTAAACAATGTTTTGGCAATCTTTCTGTTTAACTTTTAGCTCTTTTGTTTTATACTAAAGTTACAGTTTACTCGAGAGAGTCGAGAGGAGAGTCTTGTCTTTGGCTCAAAATCAACAGTAATATCAGCACAGAAAATGACATTTCTCTGTGTGCAGTCTACATTCTGGCTACAGAATCAGTTTATTACAGTGAGATAATTCTCCACAGTTTCCAAAAGGAGATCTATCATTACTTTTTTCAGTGAAATATGCTGCTCTGCACAAACAGGTATACTTGCAGACTTTACCAGCACAGGGAAACACTCATTTATGTGAACAATCACCTCTGTACCACACATTGGTCACTTCACAAAGGGGAAGCTACAACAGTGAAGTCACCAAGACCGGCATTAGCCGCAATAGTGCTGTCAAGTGTTAGGCCTGTCAATGGCAGGACCAGAGGGGACTCTTTGGGAAGGTTCACTTAAAGCTCAGCTCAGAGTCTGGTAGTAGTGTGGTGGACTATGTTATCACTGACCTGGATTCTTCCTCTATAAGTGATTTGACTGTCAGGCCACAGACTCTCTTTTACCAGTTAAATCACACTTTACATCAAGGGAACACACCAGCACAAAGACACACTGACAAAGACCAGTCATAGAAATGGATTACAAATAGCCTTGGAGAATACCAAATTACATTCAAACTAATAAGATATAAGAAAATTCAGATATTATTGAATACATTCCTAAACACAAGCCAGTAAAACAGGCATACATTTGGCCATAAAAGATTTAAATCACATATTCAATAAACCAGGCATTAAATAGAAATTAAAAATAATAACTTCAAAACACACTCAAAAAACAAAAGCAAAAGAAGAATAGTTTGCAGAAACAGCTGAGTATCACTGTGAGAACCATCAAAAACCACACAGCAGAGATCTGCACCTCAAATACTACTGTACAAGATGTTAAAACACTACAAACACACCCAAAAGTCTCAGAAATCGAAGAGTCAATCAAAACTGTTTTGTGGAAAAATTAAATAATTTAAATAGGTAAAAACTTGCCCAACACAGCAGTGAAGTGTGGGTTCCAATCATAAACCAAGATTACACCAAATGTGACAAATACCCCATAGAAGCCTGTATACAAGGTTCTCTTAAAACATTCCCCATGTGCAGAGAAAAACGCCTAACAACACATGCAGGGCTGAATTAGGCAATACCCTTTGCTAATCAATATACAGAACAGTAATAATTGAACAGAACCAATAATTGTGACACCTGTTTTGAGAAAAAATTTTTATAATATTTTTTTTCTTTGAATAATTTTACCTCACTGACAGATTAGATTTCTCTCATATTTTCAGTGTAAAATCAAGCTGATAAACAGCAAAGACATTTTTTCATAACCTTTTTTGCTCATCTTTACCAAGGGTGCCAATAATTCTGGAGGGCACTGTATATGATATATGTAAATGCCCAATAATTTGTATTGTAAATGTCTCTAAATGTTGTGTTAATTGTATCTGCTTTGGCAACATAGCTGTTTATCAGTCATGCAAATAAAACTCTTTGAATTTGAATGGTGTGAAGGAAGACATACAGATTAGAGAAGACTAGTTTTCCCTAGACGGCTTTTAAAATAAGGGCAATTGGCAGACCATGGTAAGGGGATAAGCTGCTGGGGTCCGGTTTACAGTATGTTGCAATTTGAGCAAATGTGCGTGGTGTAGTCCTTTGAGGTCGGTAACATTGTAATGTGTTTTCTGCTTGCAGTTCTGTCGCGGGCGAATTAAAAAGTTGAGACTTAATTGTAGTTACTGGTGTGTTTTAAAAAGAAAAGATTGAGTGATGAGTGATTTACGGTAGGGACTGAGCTAGATGCTTTGCCCGTTGGGGTGATGAACCAGCAGGTGTGGATTCAGAGAGCAGGAAAGGGATTTAAAGGAGCCTAACTGTGTACCCTGAGAGTCATGTACAGTAAGTTAGTTGCGAGTCCATACCAAGCTCTCCGACAGCTCAGGGTGTTTGGGAATCAGACTGACTAGACACAAAAGAGAAGCATTTGCAGCTTCTGGGAGGTAAGTTGTTTTAAAAAACAAAAACAAAAAATAGTGTCTTAATTGTTTGGAGGCTATGAAATGTGTGTGATGTGAGGCAAGTGTAGTGACTTAAGAGATTAAAAATATCATGTTTAGGTGGTATAACAATAAGCTCAAAATTATTAATAGGCTAGATGGACCAAATTGCCTCAACTTCTCTGTAACAGTGCATAAAATGGTATGTATGGCATTAAGTTAACTCATAACTTAACTTGTTAACATTTTAGCTTTTGTAAAATAATTATTATTTTACATTTAAGAATTAAATATATTATGTATACATTATTAATGCAATTTTAACTTCCATATTCAGTTTTATACCAAATCATTCAATTATTGTGACATCTCCTAGGTTGTTTAGTGCAGGTGGTGTGAAAAGAGAGGCCAGAGCAGGTCTATCAGGTTCACATACGTTTATCATCTTTGTAGTTACAGAGGGAGCTTGTCACAGAGTGAAAAAAAAACAGTTGGTAAGGCACACAAGGAGAAAGGTAAAGGGGAAAAGGGAATGGCCATAGGAAAGTCCAATGTCAAGGGGTGCAGAATGCTATTGTGTGTTACAGTAGGTTAATTTATTGTTATAGTTCAAGTAGGTACAGTAGGTGAGTCAGCATGCGTAGGCTGCAAAGGGACAGGTAACCTTTCCAAAACATAAACATATTTTATTCAATGCTTTAAGTACCTATCTGCACATATGCCACACCAAGCTTATTCACTTTCCCTACCTTATGAAACATACAGTATTTCTAGTCTAAATTCTAAATATGATCTCCAGAAGACTCTGAATCACGTCCTTTTACACAATAAGTATGTTGTACTCCATGTCAGTAATAATGCAGCTTTTGTTTTTTGACCTAAGACCATGTTTTGTAGCTTAAGGATCTCTGCAGGTACTCAAAGTTTATTCATTCAGCATGAAATAAGTATCATTGTCCAAAATACTGAGAAATGTTCAGGCCTGAAGCTATAAAAGTTCAAAACTATTCACATACTGTTTTGCATATAAATAAAGCATTATGTGGATGAAAAAATCTACTTGACAGCAGTGAAATAACTTCCAACCATCCATTTTCTAACCATTTTATCCAGAACATCGTTTCATGGGAGCTGGGGTCTATCCTGATAAGCAATGGGTGCAAGGCAGAATATACTCTGGACTGGAAGCCAGTCCATCGCAGGGTGTACACAGCTAAAAACATGTACACACTCAGACCGAGATCAATTTTTTTGAGAAACCAATCAATCTAAAGTAGGTTTTTGTACTGTGGGAGGAAACAGTATCACCCCGGGAAAACCTACAGTATGTGAATATTGAGAGAACATGCAAACTTGGATGTAGATAGCACCCGAAGAAATGAAACCAGGGCCCCAGCTGATTATACCCAGTGGTACCAGCCATTGCACTACTGTAATGTCCTAGTGATTGGTACTTGTCTCTACAAAATGTATTATATATGATTGTTAGCATACCTTCTGTTGCACCTCTACACACCTTGTGTGTTAGCTTCCCAGCAATGATGTGTTGATTGTCTGTGTCTTCATAGTATATGCCAATTAATATTATTGAAGAAATTCAAGTAGGTAGGTGTGTGAGCTGCGCAGCCCAGCTGCGTTGAGGTTGTGGAGCCTCAGCCGAAATGTTGTGTCTCCTTTCTTTTCCTTTCAGCATGGAGTACACCTTTACTCATTCCTTTGCAGCCTTTGCATCCTGACGCAGTTCCCTACTTAACTTCATTAACCCATTTCTGCTGCGTCCCACTATACCTTCCACTATTTTTTTTTCTAGATCTCTTTGTCATTCCTTCTCCTCCTCCCTGGACTACTTGCCCCCTTTTCTCTCTAAATCAGCATTCAATCTTTTCAAAGCGATCTATTCCAAGACCAGGCTTTTTAACCACCTCCTATTCCTCATTGAATATTATTGACTTTTTCCCTGAATTGAGTTGTTAAGCAACATTTTGGGAGTAGGTATCATATATGTGTTTGCCTTCTGAGTTCCCTCTGAACATGTCTTTTCTAACACCTCTCCCTTAAACCCCATTTGCAGCAATACTAGCACAAGACTCCCTGGTTTATTCCCAGGTGATGGCTTTTGTTAGCCTTAATTTTCTACGCAACATCTGTAATTTCCTCAGATAGAATAGGTAATGCCAAAAGCTAAAATATTTATTATTATGCTGTCCCTTTACATTCATCTTCTTATTGTGTTAATTACAAATTGACCAAACTACTAAAATTACAATTTGTCCAATAGTACTTTGTGATTTAATTAACATTGGACAATATTTGTTCCAGCAGGAATTATCTTATCAGCTGAGTAAATATTGCAGTTTCATAGCTTTTCAGTCTATATGCTGTGTATTTTACACAAGGGGATTCATATCTGAATCCTGGAGAGCCAATGTGTTTGGTGATGTTCAAGCCACCTGAGTTCTTAATGATCTAAATCGCCTCATCAAATCAAATCACTTTATGATTTTTGGAGGGGGGATAGGGCTTTCCAACCTTTTCATTTTCCAGGAAGTAGAAGCCTGTACAAGATGAATGCTTTATACTTCTTCTTTTTGTCTGTTTTAAAAAAAATCATGAAAGATGTCCTTACACGATTAGATTTCTACAATAATAGAGTAAATATTGATGTATTGTAATATGTTTGATGTCCACTGTCCATCCTTCGAGATTTCAGTTCTGCAAAAAGGATTAGATAAAAAAAAAATGGCTAGTACAAAAGTTTAAAAAGATGTCAAGATAATGTAGCAATGAAAGATACATTTTCAGCACGGTTAGCAAGACATTGACAAACTATTAATTGATTTAAACTGAAAACAGTCCTCCTTTGGAAATGTTTAACAGTCTTACACTCTGTGAAACTCTAATCCTATTTCCCTTTGTTGGTCTTATAATGCAGGGCTGTGAAATGCAGCATGCCCTGGGAGGAACATAAGAACTTAAAACCTACAAATGAATGGAGGCTTTTTGGCTAATTTAGCTCATTTGGCTGCTCCTGTATATCCTACAGCCATTTCTTGAAACAAGCCAGAGTATCTGCTTGGGCAACATGGATGGGTAATGTGTTTCAAGCTCCTACAATTCTTTGTGTAAAAATTGTCTCCAGTTTTCAGTTTTAAATGTACTGTAATTCCCTGTGGTTTCCACTTGTGTTTTCTGAATCGTATTCGACTTAAGCCTGGAGAGGCCTGTTGGTTTGACTTTTTCAATTCCCTTGAGAATTTTGAATACTTGAATTAAATTTCTTTCAATTTGCTATGAAAGACTAAAAAAGTGAAGTTCTTTGAGCCTGTTAGTGACATTTGAACTCTAGAATGTATCCAGCTGTCCTCCTTAGAACTGAATCCGGAGTGTACTGTATATACTGTATATACAGTAATAATAGTAATTACTATATACAGTACTGTATATAGTAATAGTATACATTTTTACAGTGGTCAAAGTGTGCATAATATTCTGAATAAAGTGCTACTACTGCACAGTGTCTAGAAATTTACAATGTTTAACTCAAACGATTCCTAATCATTTGTTCATTTTGTCATGTATTTTCAAATAATTTATCCTTTTTTCCCTTTGTCTTCCCAACAGAAAATGACATGTGCTAACTTTGGATCGACTACTCAAAAGGACATATAATGTCTAGAAAACCACAATCAGACATTTGTGATACTTTGGCTTTTAAGAAAGAAAGGAAAACTGGCTCTTGGAGAAATATCCTTTACTGCAATAATAAAGAAGACTCAACTATACCTTCAAAAGAAAACAAGAAGAAAAACATTATATTAGAAGGGTTAAAAGCAATACTTCAGCTTTGGTGTCAGTTTATTTGCTCGGCTTTTAACTGTGACAACCTACTTTTTGTAGAAATAGTTTTTCTGTAGCTGTGCCAGAATGTAGGTTGGGAACTTTGCACTAATGTGACGCTAGCCTTGCCTGTTGTGCTCTTATAATACTCTGTGAGCTTCCACTGCATGAGCGTGTGAAACTCTGTGATTCACAGTCTGGCTGAAAGGACATAAACAACTTGGAAAGCTTTCACTGTCTTTTTTCACTATTAGAAAAGGCTTTTACTGCTGCTGTCTGGACACAATGCCAACCTTTGATGAACTGTTAGTGGACATAGGAGAGCTTGGGCCATATCAGAAAAGGGTTTTCCTTCTAGGATGCATTCCGGGGATTCTGTTTGCTTTTAGTTTTGTTGGGATTGTTTTCCTAGGGAACACTCCGGAGCACTGGTGTCGAAACCCCAAAGTGGAGGGGCTCAAGGAAAAGTGTGGTTGGTCCAAGGAGGAACTGAAGAACTACACAATCCCACGAAGTGACAAGGGGTCCTTCAGCCAGTGTGAGAGGTTCGATGTGGACTGGAACAGCACTGATCTCACCTGCAGCAGCCCTGTAGGATTCATCATTGCTAACTCCTCACAGAAAATTCCCCTCACTGCATGCAATGAAGGCTGGGAGTTTGACGGATCTCGCTCTACTATCGTCAGTGAGGTACAGACTCCACAAATTATACTCTTCTTTGTGTTTTATAAAAATTACATTGCACTTTTATTTAGCTATTTTATGTTGATACCATTCTATTGAATAATTCATGTGCTACATGTCTAGGTAGGTGATACAGATAAAAGATTTGTGTCATTTTTTACTTTTTCATTTTGTTTGATACACATGGGGATATCCAAAGTTCCCTCTGTTTGCTTTCTTGTACACCGGAAATAAAAAGGACTGCTATGATTTGCATGCAAGCTCATATTTAACAATTAGTTTCAGGAATACTTGCTCTTGTTTTTGTACTAGTTAAAGTGATGACTAAATCACTTAATACTGTACAGCATTGGGCACCAGAGAACATTACTTTGCAAAGATAAAGCAATGCCAATATAGTACCATAAGTTCAGTAATTAAGTAACAATTTCTTAGTTCTTGCCAGTGACAGATCTTTTTTAAATAAGTCTCTTTTGCAAACTAATTACATAGTTTTAATGTTAACAGAAGGCCATATCTATTAACAGTAGGAGCATAGTGGTATTGTGGTTAGCATTACTGCCTCAGAGTCCTGGGGCCTTGAGTTCAGTTCCGGACTTCAGTACTATCTATGAGGAGTTGGTCTGTACTCACCAAGTGTGCATGGGTTTTCTCTTTGTGCTCTATCTTCCTCCCACAGTACACAAAAATACTGGTAGGTAAATTGGCTTCCAGTAAAATTGAGCCTAGGTGTAATTGTGTGTCTGTGTCTGTTCTGTCTGTCTGCCTTGCAATGGACTGCCATCATATCCAGGGTGTGCCCTTTCTTGTGCCTGTTGTTTGCCTCTGGCTCCCCCACAACTCTTTTGGAAAATCAGTTAGAAAATGGACTAATAATAATAATATTTTCAGAACAGTACTTAAGTAGTAAAAAGGGTTTTGGTTAAAATTCCCAAAAATATAGGTTAGATTTTCTGTTTTCCTGGTAGTAAAAATTCTTCCGTTATTGCATCCCAGTAATACTAGATTTATGTCTGAGTCACTGACAAGTGAAATTTTAGGAGTTTAGGAAAACTACATATTAGTAGAACCCTTGATAACTGATGGTCTATATCTTCACTGCCACCAAAGCTTATCACACTAATATTTAATGTTTATTCAATGTTAATATTTAATTAGGATTGTACTGTATGCATTCAGAGAGCCTGAAGAAAAAACATACTTTTTATTTTTTCAAAGAACAGATGAATACTTATTCTGATGCTATATTTAATTGAATAAATTATTAAATACTACACAGGTGGAATGGTGGTGCAGTGGTTACACAGCATTAGGGCCCTGGGTTCAATTCCAGAGCTGTGATGTTGTTTACATGGAGTTTATATTTTCTCCCAGTGTTTGCCTGGCTGTCCTATCTGTGTTTGTGTGTCTGTGTCTGAGAGTGCACTGTGATGCCTCTGGCTCCCCTGTGACTATGAAGTGGATGAAACGGTAAGAAAATGAATGGACGGATGGACAAACTTCAGTTCTAAACTCCTACCATATGCTGTTATCTTTTTAAAAAGGTTCTAGATCTTAATATCTGAGTAACAATAACAGGCCACTTTAATATGCACCCAAATAGAAAAAAAGGATAGCTGTGTTATTCTTTTTACACAGAGCATCTATATCACATTTGTTTCATTTTTAGAATGTCTCATTAGCAATTTGTTTGTTACTTTTACCCTACTGTGTTGTATCTCAATATTAACAAATGAATAGCAAATTAATAGATCTGAAAGTTTAGCCAGGTGAGGTTTGTAATGTGGATCATTTATCAAATGTAAGAAGCGTCAGTGATGCATTTAGCTCTAGGCTGCCTGAAACTCAAGAGGGGATCAGAAGCACATGAACAGAAAAGAAGAGGGAAAACACCCTTCTCTCAGAACATAATCAGTGCACAGATGAAAGTGTACAAACATTTACTGATGACAGTTGTCATTAATACAGTATTTGGAAGGAAAATAAAGTTATTCCTTATTGTCCATAATCTCAAAAGTCTGGAGAAAAACAAAGTACTTAACAGTATAGAGTATAGTGTAACAAGTAGAGGTTAATTCAGCATTGACAAGTCACGTGAAGTACAGTACAGTATGAAAAAAAGCACTTTGGAGTGGCCAGCCTCGGAGCCTTTCAGATGTAGGATTTTCAATTTAAAAATGTAATTCACCAAAAACTTAACCATTACTTGTTTCTTTTAATTTCGTACACTGATGTAGCTCTTTTTTGCAACCACTTTATAGAATATACAAAATGTATGAGGACTAAAGGAAACACAATATGCTGAGCTGCAATGATAAATAAAAATGTTCTAGTCTTTAATTAAATGTTTGTTTCACATTACAACTGTCACTTGTAAAAAACTAATTGCCAGATGTTTTTAAACAATACTTATACAGTACAATGTTATAAACAATACTTGGTTCATTAAGAATCCACTTTATATAGAAATTATCCAGCCATTCACATCCCAATTGAAAGGAGAATACCCTTTACTTGAAATTCAGGCCCTTGCAGTTTTACGTTTTCATATTTTGTTGATTTAAAGCTTGCAGTAATTGTACTCTGAAGTAACAATTAACATTTGTTATATACACAACATTTTCCACCCATTCAAACACAAAATAAAAAAAAAATATTTCATATAAATATGTTAATGAATATGAAAGAAAAATCATGATTGCTTTCCAACAGTAACCCTTTGTTAGTAGATTATAGACCAGGAGAAGTTTATTCAATTTTAAATTTTAAAACTCTTATTATTTAAGCATGGTAAAGAAATACAGTACATTTAGGAAAGTGGAAAACACCGAGCCACTGCGTTCTGTGTATCTGGCTGTTCATTCAACTTTATGAGTCAAGGCAAGAAGGAGACTGGTTCAGGACACTACCACTAGGTTGACAGTTACAGAGTTATAGAGTTCAGTGGCTGAGATGGGAGAAAATGTCCATGAAAATGCCAACAATATCCATAGCACTCCACAAAGGGGTTTGTATTTAACTGAAAAACAAAACATTTTAAATCTTAAATGGGATTTGCAACAAAAAAGCTTGTAGAGTTATAGTTATCTATAATAGAAATAGTTTGTGGTCAGATAAGACAAAATTGGAACATTTTGGTCTAAATACAAAGCGTTACATCTGACAAACTCAACGTACTGTAGTGCACCAATCAAAATCTGTATCAGACCTAAAACTGGCACACAAATTTACCTTGTAGCACGACAATCACCCATAGCACAAAGCAAAAGCTATACTGGAGTGGCTTAGGATATTAAAGTGAGTGTTCTTTAGTGGCCCAGTTTAAGTCCTTATTTGAATCCTATTGAAAATCCCTGCGCATTCAAAAACTTGAAAAAGTTGAAAACTGGTGTCAGATTTTTCTCTTTGGCTTTTGTTGACATTTACTGTAATTTCTGTAATTTATTTTATCTTTAGGGGTTTTAAGTTTGTGCATTTAAGTTTTAAGTAAAATATTAATTTAAAAAAATGTGTATACAGATGTTACAGGCTGAGCACACTGAACTGGTTGGGAAGTTGGGAAGTGTTGCAGTCAAAGTACAAGATTGCCTTTTATTTTGTAGACATAAAACAGCTTGGAAGTTCCAAGATAAAAATGGGTTCACAGTGTGAACTAAATTAACAAAAGAAAAATATGCCTCAGCTGCTAAGAAGCTTCACTGGTGATTTCTTAGCAGAAGATTTTGTTAGCAATTATGAAATGCAGAAACTAAGGACCCTGTGCAGGGCTCAAATTGGCTTATTAGTAGGAAGTCCAAATAGAAGGCTACCAAAAAAGAAACACAAGTCCTAATATCCAAAATCCAAAGGGCAGGTTATAGTTGAGACCAGGTAGAGACAATACAGTGAAGCAACCAATCCAAAAATGCTAAGGCAGAAACGTGGTCAGTAACTAGCGAGAGTCAGGAAGGAAGAAAGAGTACGTGCACTAGGGAGCTCCAGGGAGAATCTGAAATAGTGAGCGATGGTAAGGGAAAAGAGGAGGGTTAAAGTAGTGATGGGAGTGAAACGCGATAAGAAGATAAGGTGTGGCGTGAGCGTCTGTCTAAGCGGGTGCGTGTGGGCATGTGAGAACATGTGGAATGCGTGACAGTTTTAGCTCATGATCTGATCACTCATTCAGTGAGTCCTTCACTTTTTAACCAGCTACTCCATAGTCAGTGGCTTGGACTTTGGCTGCTTTAGAAATTCTCATGCTCTCTAGAGCTCTCCCTCTGAGCTCCCTGGTGAGCTGTACTCACCCTCACAGGCTACCTGACACAACTACTGAGGAGATGCTATGCATTAAGTAAAGAGTAACTCAGCTGTCATGTATTTGGGAGCACAATGACCTGAGTTGGATCCTCTTCAGCAAACGCCTGTCTGTCTGTGACTGCCTGTCACAATTTTGTAATTTCACAAAATGGAATGTCATGATGTGGCTGTGCACAAGTTACAGCTGCAGTGGTAATCAGGTTGAAATCCAAGCGCTAGGGATTTGGAGGCTTCTGATGATTCCTGAAGGTAGAGGAGCCCTCTGGAGACAGGAGTGAATGTACTGTAGTAATAAGTGGTAGTTGAAGCCACAACAGAGACTGGCAGAGAACTGGTAGTGATGGTAACAGTCACAGAATCTAACTTCCGTCTAACAATAGACCAGCATTACCATATTAGTCACACCAGACATTGATAGTGGGCTAGTAGTGCCATAGCAGTTGCTGCAGAGATTGACTGCTGAATCAAGGTGTAGGGTCCATACCTGGAGCTGGGCAAGCAGAATTTTGTTTGTTGGGGTGGTCAACTGGGAGCATGCAAGGAGCCATACTGATCAGGGAGGGTCCTCTCAGGGGGGTCTACTCCAGAGACCAGGCAAAGAGTGTTTTGTCAGTGGGCTCCTCCTGCAGACTGCAGGAGGTACACCCTGGATTGGGCTGAACAGTGTAGTAACCAGTTGCGTACTTGTAAGTGGACCAAAGTTGCATTAATAACTATAGGTGTGTCTGTCGACTGGTAAAAGCTGTAACTGCCACTGGCTACCAGCTTGCAGCAGACCAGAGTAGCTGTGAAAGTTGCAGCAGAAATCAACTGCCAACTGGTAGACCAGTTAAGCTGTGGAAGCTGCAGTAGGCTAGTGTTGAAACTGGAGAGCCTACATCTGGAGCCAGACAAGACAGGAAGCTTGTCATCTAAGGGAAGCATGTCAGCAGCTGGGCACATCAAGGCTTGTGCTCTTCAGGAGGATCTACTCCAGAGACCAGGCCAAGAGAGAGCTGTCAGAGCAGACCTCAGAAGGTGCATCCTGGACCAGTTGAACACTGCACTCCATTGAGGACTGGGACCAGTGCAGGGTTCCATTAGAGAAATGGTTGCATGCAGGTGACGTGATACCAATTTGTAGCAGACCAGAATGGCTGTAGAAACCACTTGAGGCTGGTGAAGCATAACTGAAGCGGGCTGATGCAATGATCGTTTGCCCAAGGACTAGGGTGGCAGTAGAAGTCATGGCAGAGATGAGCTGCCAACATAAGATGGACTGGTAAAGCCATAGAAGTCACAGTGGAGCTGGTGAAGCTTTAGGAACTGCAACTGTCAAGGAACCAATACGTGGAATAGGAGGATCCTTATGCGTGACCGGAATCCCACAGGACACAGAGTAGCAAAGGGACAATCCAAAAGACAAAATCCAAAGGCAGGGTCGATAAGGGAGGCAAAGGGTCCGGTAACGAGAGATAGTCAAAACAATTCAAAGGCAAAATCCAGAAGGCGAGGTCAGGAGGCGGAAGCAGAAGATTCATAACAGGAGATCAGTCAAAAGGTTAGGAAACACGCACTGGAGAATACTAAGATAGGCTTCTCAATAGTGAGCATGGGAAGGTGTGCGAAGGGGGTTTAAATACTGAAAGGAAAGGGGTGTGATTGGATGATTGGTTAGGGAGTGAGAATTTGAGGAATCTGATGCATGTGAGAATGTGCTGGGTTCAATCAGGGATGAGATTGGGAAGCAGAGGTTCCGGGGAATGTAACGTCGTTTGCGAGGGAGAGTGTGGGGCGTGACAGCAACAAGCTGGTGATGCTGACAAGCTGACAGTTTCTAGCAGAGCAGAATGGCTGTGGTTGTGGCAGCTGGCTGGTATGGTGATATAAATACAGAAGGTTGCCTTCAAAAGAACAGATGTGGAAAAAAGAGCAGAAATAGGCTGCTGACTTTCAGCAGGGTGGTGAAGTTAAAGAAGTCGTTGCTGTTTATGGTGGTGCTGTTTATAAAGGATGTAACTGTTTTGGAGGAGAATCAAAAAGAGATGTGATATTGCTTGTGAGGCAATGTGAGGGACTGATGCCTGTATGTATGCTACCAGCAGACCAGGAAGGGGTGTAATGCTCCTGCACTGTAAAAATATTGGGCTAGCATGATTTTTCCTCTTACTCTTTCATTTTTGAACCCTTGAAAGAATAGTCCTGGCCTGAGAAGCTTAATGGCTACTCTTCTGTTACATAGATAAACTAACATTTCTTTTCATTTCAAAGAGTAGTCACCATCAAGCTGTATATCAATGTCGTGGTATTATTATCAGGGAACCGATTGGTAGAACGGGGGGAACCTTATGTGTAGCCGTGAATCCTGTAGAATGTAGAGTAGCACAGGGACAATATCCAAACCATGTAATCCAGGGGCATGGTTGATTGGAGAAGCAAAGAGTCTGGTAACCAGTACAATCCGAGAAAGACAATCCTAAAAACAAAATCCAAAGAGCATGGTAGAAAAAGGCAGGAGCAAAGATTAGGAACTGGGAGATCGGTCAAAAAGGTTGAAACGCGCACAAGAGAATACCACGGGAGGGTTCTCAATAGTGAGCATGGGTTGGTGCATGAGGGAACTTTAAATACTGAAGGGAAAGGGACATGGTTGGATAATTGGTCCAGGAGTGACAATTTGTGGAATCAGGTGCCCATGAGAATGTGATGGGTTTAGTTAGGAATAAGATCGTGAAACACTGGGTTTGGGAATGTAATGGTGTTTGCAAGGGAGAGTGTGGGGTGTGACAATTATAGGTCCAGAGGAAAACAGTTATATAAATACAGTATATCCCAGAACCAAATACCAGAGCATCAGGTCAATAACACCACTCTGTTTCTAAGACGGGACCAGCCCCCCACTTTTATGTTCTGTCGCTGGAGAATTACAGACATTTGTGCCTCTCACAGTGGCAAACACAATCTGCCTGGTTGTTTGAATGCAGATTGAAAGTTGCTGGGAGCCGGGATGCTGGTGGGGGAATGTTGAGTTTTGTATTGCTGGCATTCTGTACAGTAGACAAAGCTTTATTTGCAGGGAGTACAATGTTGCTCTTTGCTGCTGTTTGTTGGGTCTTCAGTTAAAAGCTTGTAAGAGAGTAACACTGTGGGGATGGCTAGTGGAAGGTGGGTATGTTGTGGCATGGAGATGTTAGTTTTTTTTTCTGTTTTATTCTATTTTGTTTTGGAAAAAGAAAAAAACCCAAAACTTTCACAATAAAAAGTGTGCTTGCCATAGTTCTAGTAATGTTGAAGAACAGTACTTCTGACAGACTTAAAATGCAAAAGGAAATGCTGTCAATCTAATGTTGCAGAAGTCAAAGACCAGGTAATTTTGTACTGTAAATATGGGCTAACATGACAATAATTAGCAAAAAAAACGTTACTACTTTATTCTAGATATTAAATATAAATATTTAACATGAGTATAGCTACCACACATTAATATTTTAAAATTAAAATATTTTTTGTTGCAACATAATATATAACTTAATATATAATTTCATACCGAACATAAAAATTATATGTAAAAATGTCTTTTTAGTAAGAGAATCATGATGCTCTCACTTTTTGATTTGACAACTGTCACATTATTTCCTAATTAACTGCTGTTACTAGCATATACAGGTAGTACTCTAGATTGCGATTTACACTTTTTTCATATATTATTTACAATCTTTGTTTCTTCTCTGCAGTATGAACTTGTTTGTGAAGATGCATGGAAGGCAGACCTCAACCAAGCTTTCCTGAATATGGGTTATCTGTTAGGAGCTATAGTCATTGGATATGGGGCAGACAGGTAAGCATAGGATACTTTTCTACTCATGCTTATGCAATTATTAAACAGTTAATAATTAAACAAGAATGATGGTTTTAGTTTATTTCTCCACAAAATACATAAAAATAGGTTGAATGACTGCTTAGCATACAAAAAGAGCCATCATTTGCAATTGCCTTGTCTTTGCCAAATTAATAAAATCACAAGCCAAATGTGTTGAACTGTCCTTACTGATAGCCGAGGGGAAATTACTAGCTGGAATTCAGCATGCAATTCATTAAATAAGACTCATAGCTAAAGCTGGCAGTTGAAAAATAACATTTTACAAACTTTACAATCAACGTAGACCTTTAAAACTTTGCAAACTTGTTTTATGTAATCTTTTTCTCATTATTTCCTTTGCATGAGTATGGACAATGGTAAAATTAATGGGTTACTTCAAATCAATTTTTTCAAAAGACAATCTTCCACACCTCATCTAGTGTATATGAACACCCATGCTGTAAGTCCACCCCTGATCTATAGCATGAAACCTGAGCATTGAGTAAAGAATGTACAGTCAATGTTAACAAGGTAAAGTGTGAAGGTAAAGCTCAGCAGCATCTGTACTTTTCTGAGGTGCCTAAAGAGAAACGGCTTCCACAAAAAAGCACTGGTTAGTTTCTACCATGGTGCCATTGAGAGCATTTTGGCTAGAGATAGTACAGTGTGGTTCGGCGGTGCTACCCAGAAGGACAAATGCATCCTCCAGATTGAACAGAGTGATTAGAACAGCTGAACACATTTTTGGAACAGAACTTCCTTCGTTGGAGAATCTCGATACATCCTCCTGCAGGAGCAAGGCTCACCCTATCCTCACAGATGCACTCCACTCAAGCCGAAGTCTGTTTACCTGGTGAGACACTAAACATAACCTTCGGTGTTGCAGGCCAGAGAGCATTAAGACATGAAGGAACAAGTTTATGAACAGTTTCTTCCCAAGAACAGTGCGCCTGATTGCCAAAGACATGCACACCAGCATTACATATAGTAGGCCCATATCTACCTCAGCTCCGTAGGCCAATGTCTTTTATCATGTGTAACTTAGGAGCCATTCTTTTTATGTGCATTTTTTTGCATAATGATGTGTACAGGTTGTGTATAGTCTTTTTACAGTTTGTGTATATAGTGTCCTGCGCATAGTCTGTGTTTACCCTTTTGTTTTTATGTTTTCTGACTGGGAGAAACCATGTAAGATTTCCAATGCACTATTCGTGCAAATGGCAATAAAGGTACTTGAACTTGAACTTGAACTTGAAAAGGACCTCTTCAGGCCTGGAGAAACTTCAGTTAATCGTGAAAGCTTATTAGGATTCCAACATCTCCCATCAAAAGGCCACTGGGAACTAAGTTCTCAATAGCAGAACAGGAAAAGAAAGATGTGCTTCCCAGAATTTCTCAAAAGCTAGACAATAGCAAATGAAGACTGCATCAGAATGAAACCTTCAAATTGATCTCATCAATTAAAAAAATTATAAGAATGAGCAACACAGATGTTTCTAATGACCAGTTTTTGACTTGTCAAAGGCTTTAAAGGCTTTGAAATGTGAGGCACACTGAATAATCCTCCTGGAGTGTGGATGTCCTCCAAAATTCATCAGCATTCTTTGTCTGCTTTATGGAATCTGTAATCCATTACAGAGTCCTTTGTAAGTCCAGAATATCATTTGATAAGACACAGGGTTTATCAACTTCAGCTCTATTATTAATATTTCTGAGCACCATATTCCATAGGAATCTCTAATGAAGCTGACATACTGTACCAAGTACACACGCCAAAACTTACAACAACCCATTGAACTCTAATACTCTGATGATGGTGCAGTATATGCCTTAACAGAGATTGATCACTTTATATATTAAAAGGTATATGAGAAAATAGCACTTATATGTAACATTCAGAAGATGCACATGCCCTCTCACCTGAAATCTGTAACTGCAGCCTTGATTCTGTGAGAAACCTGGGTATTTGAGGATAGCAACATCAAATTGACATCAAACTGACAGTCTACCATACAGTCATCATTCCAGCCTTGGTGGTTAAAACATCATCAACATACAGGAGACTGAAATCTCATTACCAAGGTTGTTTGTAGAAGATTTTACATATCAAGTAGGAAAGACACACTGTCACATCAGCATTTATGTTATCTTCCAAACAAGAACAGAAGCTATGAACATCTGCTAACACTTCATTGTGTTAGTCATATCACTCACATCATCACCTACATGTAGATCATGGTTCTTAACTGAAATAGGCAGAGGAATAATATTTGGGAATGAACCTAGCACTTTTAGACAGAAATGTGTCATAATAAGGATTAACCTTAGAAGATTTACAATGACTGGAAGATTCAGTACACAACCAGATAAAGCACCTTGCACAGTTTTTACATTTTGTTGCTTTAAAGTTTGCAGGCATGATGCTTTGAAGTTATAATTATTATTTTTTAATCCAAACATCCTTCTCCACAGATTCAAAGCTAAAAACAAAAAGAGGTGAACAATTAAATGTCATGATTGCATAAGTATTCTGTGATGAATGCCAAACCCCAGACCATATCATGAAACCCAGAGACATTACATCACCAGTTCAAGAACACATGTTTCTCTGGTTTGTCACTGCTATTGGTTTGTGGAACCCCTTCGGGATCCTGTGATGTACAGCTTGTGCAATCTCAAGACCAGTCCATGCCTTACACAATCACTCCAGCTTGTCTTCCTTTCCTATTGTCCCAATCTTCAATCTTTGGGAAAATAACAGGAGGGATTGAACGGGTGCAGTCCAAATTAACACTCCCAAATAAACTCACCATTACAAAAACAAATTTTACATTTTCCTGTTATAGAGGATACTAATTAGGCAATTAAGCCAGGTGTGTCCAATTTTCACTCTCAAATATGACCCTGACCAAAGCCTTGGCTTGCACTATCATAATAAGTTATGTATTGTATTATTATTATTATTATTATTATTATTATTATTATTATTATTATTATTGTTGTATCATTTGTTACACTGTGGATGTCTTGTCTGTGTTAAGCTGCTGTTGCACTGCAATTTTCCTCACGGGATCAATAAAGTATCTATTTCTTACATAATTAAACACCTTGCTGGGGCAAACACAAGATAGCAAACTACACAATAAGTTAAAAGCCTTCTGTGTGACATTATAGTGGTTCTCATGATTTCATTAAAAAAACACAGCCTTCCTGGGCTATCTTGATCAGGGAATGAATTTCAATCAAGAATTCAGCTACTAAGGGATAAAGTCATTAAAAAGCACAGGCCAGGGGAAGTATACAAAAAACATTTTAGCCGTCGAGTATCCCAGTAAGCACCACTCAATCAACAAAAACAGAAGGTGCATCGTACCGCCCAGACATTAGATTAGATTCCTCTCCACTAAACAGTTGGGAAAGGAGGACATTGGTGAGGGACACCACTGAGAGGCAAACAGCAGCTTTTAAAGAGGTACATAATTTGATAGTTGAAATAAGAGAAAATATGCATTAGTCAACAATATTCCTATCTCTCTACCAAGCTTTCCTCTATGGCAGAGTGAAAGAAACATCTCATATCCTCTATGGAGCGTGCAGTAAAGCACTTGATTGATGCTGTAAAAATGTGTCAAAAAGGGTTGTGGTTAAATGAGACTCATTGCATTACATTCAGTGCAGGCCAAACATAGTATATGTCAAGTTAACACCACCTCTACAGTGAAGCGCAGTGTAGGCAGCATCATGTTATAAAAATACATTTCCTTAGCAGGGAATGGAAGGCTTGTTAGTAATGAGGATAAATTGATAGAGAAATTTACAGGCAAATCCATACATCCATTTCTTAATCACTTTATCCAATAGAGGGTTGCAAGGGAGCTGGAGTTTATCCTGACAAGCAACAGATTAAGTAACCCAGTCAAAGTCCTAACAACCTATTGAGAATTTGTGAGAAACTCACTTCCCATATAATTTGAGATTGAGGTCTTGAGCAAATCTGGAGGAATGGGGAACAATTGCACATGTGTAAAGTTAATAGAGACTTATGACTGAAAGTGCAGCCAAAGGTGCTTCCACTACATATTGAGTAATCAGCATATTTCAGTTTTGTCTCATTAGTTTTTGCTGTAATTTACTGTAACATATTTTAATTTAGAAGTCTTCAGTTTGAATGCTAATGTTGTCAATAAGATATAGATTAAGTCACTTGGTAAATTCACAAAATGGGACAACACGGAAAGGATCTGAATACCTTTGCACAGCATTGTACTCCCAAAACAACCCCTGCCCAGCCTACAGTACCCCTGCCCAGCCTACAGTACCAGAAAATGTCCAGGTCTTGCATTAGCCTGATCAGTCATCTTTGAGTTGATAAAAACCAATCATCCTCATCTGTGAAAAACAGCAAATAAATGATATAGACACATAGAACATTAGAAATAATTATGGAAACAGGTTAAAATGGGTATAAATGACAAATTACTTCATCTAAATTAATAGCTTTTGTGAAAAATTAAATGTGACGTAGTATTATGTAATTTAAAGTATTAATGTATACTTACACAGCTACTCCGAAATAGACAGATATTAAAGACTTTCATACATACAAGAATTATTATGATTAAATAAACTTTTTGCAATTACTTTATCTTTCAGGTTTGGTCGAAAGGTGTGTTTCCTTTTCTCTATTTTTGGACTAGCTCTTTCTGGTGTAGGAACAATCTTTTCCCCAAACTACACTGCTATATTGGTCTTCCGAGCAATCCAAGGAATCTTTGGGAAAGGAGCATGGATGACTTCATATGTGCTAGGTAAGAATTAATTAAGGAGATAGATAGAAGATATGTAGTATCCAGGTTAAATTACACTGTTTTTCACACTTGACTGGGTACTGCCTAGAAGTGAAAAATTGTATTCCAAATGCTTTAATCAGGGAAATTTGGGTGGGATGAAAAATCTTCCTTGCACAAAAACAAAACAATACTAACAAACTTGTGAGTGGTGAAACAAAATAACTCATGACAGGCTCACTGCGAAGTCCACTTGAAGCTCCTGTTAACGTGTTTTCTTCAGAGTACACAGGCAGTGACTCAGCAATAACATCAATTTACCCAGTTAAATAATAGATTTTTCTTGTTTTTTAAAACATTTACAGCAGAGAAATAAACATTGTAAAATTTTGATACAACAACAAAAAAAGAAAATTTATGTGAAAGGAAATTCACATACGAAAGTTCTATATAAAAAACAAGCAAATCTGACACTGTCAATGGCTCATTACCAATCAGCTAGTAAAAATAAAATATATTCAGAATCAGACTCTACTCAGATTATACAGAATAATTTTTCCTTGCCTTCACTGAGTCAAATGAAGAATACATAAAACATCAAATAGACTTTAAAGGAATTAGGAGAATAGTATGTGTGAGGAATCATTTACTATTAATTATGCTTTCCTGCAAACACTCTTAGCAAACACATGGTTCAGCTGGTGCTGTTTCTGCCTATATTTATAATTCTTGAGAGTTTAGCTCTAAAGAATTATAGGAATCTTGATAAAGGAATCTTATACCAAGATTCTTATATCAAGTGGAGATGTCGAAAGAGAGCACACTTTCCACCAGACTTTTGTAGGCCTACTCTAAGATTTGTTTGCTTCCGCCAAAGTTCCTCAGCCTTCTCAAGACAAACAATCACCTGACATCATGTAGAAACACAACATAAAATCAAAAAGTAAAACATTTTGTTCCATTTTCTCCAATGATACATTGTCTTCAGCTGATATACAAATATTCAATTATCCATCTCTGAGATGTCACACAAAAAGCAAAAGTGTGGACTATTGACAGTCAATTGAAGGATAAGGAGTGAGAATACCATTTATTCCAAATTCAAGTAAGACTGAACATTCAAATGAGCAGGACTGAGGCAACAAGCACAAGCATTTTCTTTATCTGGTAGAATTCTGTTCTGTTTTGGCAAGGATAAACTGCAGTTTCTAAACCATTAATATAACCACAAAACATATGTCACTGTTATTGTTCCTTTTGGATTTGCTGAAAAAAACACATAGATTGAAATGTCAGTGATAAATTGTTCAAAGGCAGGAATGGTTCTATTAATCTAAAACGTGGACTGCTTAAAGCTTGGCCTGGGTGTGCAAGGTTTTGTTTAGTTGCTGCCTAATCTTCAATGCTTGACTGAGTCTTTTACATTCACTGTGCAGCCGTGATGAATGCAAGCACTAATTAATCAGTGTCGTATGGTTTGGGGTGTGCTGTTGTGAGATGTTAGCATGCTAAAGACATTTTGTTAAGCATAAAGTGATGCACAGACCTGAAAATCGCCAGAAAAGTGAAAGACAGATACTGGAATGCCTTATTATAATTAAACATTATATAAAGTCAGTGACTAAATATGCCAATATTATGGATGGAAATATCATTATGACTTAAAAATAAGTTTTCTGAAAAAAAATGTAGGTAACTTGTAAATGACAACCAACTCTAAACTGTGGACAAACACTAAAGCTACACTAGAGTAGTAAATCATGGGTTCAATTCCTGCCTGGGTACATTCTACTCTATGTGGATTTTGATGTTTCTTCGCATAGTTCAACAACATGATGTCCTGGATAATTGGCATCTCTGAATATACTGTAAATGTGTTTTTATGTGCCTTCCAAGGGACTGGCACCCCATCTAATGGGGTATTCCTGACTCTGGATCATAATCACATAATAATATCATAATCGGACGGTCTTTTTTTAAGAATAAAAAATTCAAATGGACAGATTGTTGTTATTCTATGGATATGTTTTTAAGCACATGGCAGATATACTGAGCATGTTGCATTAAAATGGAAAAAATTCACATTGTTATTATGTACTATTCTACATATCTTGTGCAAATCACTTAGACCTACTATGTTTAGTTTAATTTAATTTTGTTTGAGATTATGAAACACATTCTTAGTTATACAATTATATGTTCTGTCTATTGCCAGCTGAATTTTTCACTTGATTCAAAACCAAATCATGCAAAACCCAAAAAAACAATACTTTTCAGATTTTTATTTTCATTCTAAAACAATAAGACAAGGCTAATAAACTATACTATAGCCTCTAGAAACATCTCACACTTCACCTTTAATAACCACTTATTCAATACAGAGTTGCAGGGAAACCAAAGTCTGTCCCAGGAAGTACTACGCACAGGGTGGGATACATTTTGAATGGGATATCAGCTCATCACAGGGTACACACACAGAGACATGTACACATTCACACCAGGGAAAATTTTACAGAAGGCAATTAGCCTACTGTTCTAGTATGTATTTGAACTGTGGGAGGAAACAGGAGTACCTGGAGGAAACCCACACACGAAAGCAATGCAAATTACTGCACCACCCTGCTGCCCTACAAACATGTCTAGATTTCCAGATTTGTCGTAAATTATTACTAATATTAGCTTTAACTAAATTTTATTTAAAAGACAAAGAAAGCTAAACTTTATCTGCAAGTGTTCAGTTAAGTCTTTGCATTGTACAGAGCTCTTATCTGCAGCTTGAGCATAGGCACTAATACTATATTCTCATTTCTTGCAGTTACAGAAATAGTCAGCTCCCGTTACAGGAGGCTGGTGGGAATTGTTGCTCAGCTATTTTTCACCATTGGAGTTATAATCCTGCCAGGAATTGCTTATCTCATCCCCTCTTGGAAGATATTACAACTTGTCATAACGTTGCCGTGCTCCATCTTATTACTGTACTATTGGTACGTGGTTCATATTTTCATATTTTTCCCATTCAAGGTTGTGAGGGAGCTGGTACCTATCTTGGCAAACAGCAGTCACAAGGCAGGGATGCTACTCCATCACAGGACAGACACACAGACACAGACGTGCACCCACTTACACTTAGGGCTAATGTTTCCCAAAAGCCAATTAACTCACACACTTTGGACAATGGGAGGAAACCAGAGCACCTAGAGTAAACCCATGCAAACACGGGAAGAACATACAAACTCCTCACAGATAGCACCCCAGGAGTGGAATTGAATAAAGGTACCCAGCACTGCAAGCAGCAATGCTAACCCTTTCCACCCTTTTATATATCACTTAAAACAGATATCATGCAACAATTATTACTCCAATTATTATCAACATAACTTAATTTGTAATTGAGTGTAGATGCTAAAATATTCCAAATCATTAATCTAACTGAAGAATAACCTTACAGGTCAGCACTTTAAAAAACAAATGAAAAAAAAATGTAGGAACAATTATTGTCTTTATTTTTTTCAAATCTGACTTTTCCAAGTATCAATGATGAACTCATCTTGACACTATGGTACTCATAATAAAAAGAGAGAGCTGAAAACAACAAGCAGATGACATGAATTGTCTTCTGTTCATTCAGTGAATTTGTGGTATTACGTGAAATGGTGAACTGCTTTTTATAAAGGATGACAGGATGACATTTGCATGCTGGCAGACAATGAAGCAATTAAAAAGGCAAATATATATAAGATGTTAGGACGTATACTGTAGATAAAAGCACGAAATGTTATACTAAGATCAGGAAGCAATTCTTTATGTAAAGAGATGTGGGAGTGTGGAACAACCTTGGCTTCTTTCAAGAGTGAGATACTTGAATAAATTAACAACTTCGTACCAAACAGACTAGATGAGCCAAATAGCCTCCTCTCATTTGTAACCTTCCTTATTTTCTTTTCCATGTGCTTATCATAAATTGAATCAATATTTTGTTTTCTTAATGGGTGTGAACCTGAACAAACCCTCCTTAAGGTTTATTCCAGAATCTCCAAGATGGTTGCTGACGCTTAACAGAACCAAAGAAGCTATGGAAATTGCTGAGCACATTGCCAAGCGAAATGGTAGGAATCTTCCTGAGAAGTACCGTGAGGTAAGCACATCTTCAGGCTTGGATAAGGGTGCTATATAACCATGATTTAAAAATGTGACATAGATAACACAAATGTACATTAGTGTAATCTTTTTAGAATGTTACACTACAACATTGTGGTTGTATAGGCACAATCTCTTTTCTTTCAACTGTGCAGCACATTATAAAGATGTATGGTATAAAAAAGTCAGTGAAGTGCAATGATTTCTTTAAGTAACATTTACTTTGTAAATGGAGTAAAATAAGATGAAGTACTAATAATGCGGAACACATTAAGAAGAAGGTATGAAAGAAGAAAAAGATATGTATGAAACACATATCATAAGATATGAAACATAAATAGCACTGTGTTTTAAATTAGTTCACCATAATTTATACCACTGGTGAAATTAAGTCCCCACTGACAAAATAAACCAAAAACATATGGTGTTTGCAGTTTTATTAGAATTTAAAGTTAAGTTGAGCTTCTCTAAATGTAATTATTTTCTATCATGCTGAATCAAAATATCTTCAGCAACTTATATTCATTAACACTACACAATAAAATGCAACACAATCGCAGTTATCATTGGACTTGTACCTGTACCTGGTCCTCAGATTTCCACTTTGATTTAAGTTAACCTTTTTTCATATTGTTTCTTTGTTTTCATAGGGTTTCACTACATCTGTATAGTATCTAATTTCTTTCTTAAATGGAGTTTATTTAACTAAAGTTCGGGAGGGACAAGTGTGACAACAACCACACTCAATCATTCCCAGCCGTCAGTGATTAGCAATCACTCCCTTCGTCTCTCCTCCACCGAACACTATAAATACCAAATGTGATATCTCTCTCCCTTGCGTGTGACTTTTGCATCCCACCTCCACCCCAACTCCACCTCTGCAGCTACCCCTTGTTTACCTTGTGGGGGGGTCCTGGCCTCGTTGTAATATGGCCAGGAGGTCGGCCCTCAGCCAAGCGGGTTAAGCCAAATATTCACTCCACAATAGTTTGTTACGCTTCGATTTTGGGGTATTGTCATTCCTCGTGAAACTAACAAAGTGTTTTCCACATTGGTCCTGGAGATACTCCCAGAATGAATGTTTTTACTTCTGCAGAGAACAATTGAATGTAATTCTGAAATTTAGCAATTGGTAAGGGGAAGATACCAATTTCAAATCCCATCTGAACAGCTGAAAGCAAGTTTACAAATATGCCCAAACAGAAAACTGAAATCAATGTGTCTGTGATTCAGAACTTGACTGCAAAATCCAGAAGATCCGGTGGCCCTCCAGGACCAGAGATGGGAACCACTGGTTAAGCATATCTCCCTTTTCACAAGTAGCTTTTGGCTTCTTATTCTCGTTTGTTTCTTTGTACAGAGAAACAAACAGATGTTTATATAATCAGGCACAATCCATTTTCCAACCGTTTCTTCCAATTCAGGGTCACAGGAGAACCAGAGCATAACCCGGCAAACAATGGGTACAAGGCACATTGCCAGTCCATAATAGCGCACACAAATACTCAAACCAGGGCAAATTTTCCCAGAAGCCAATTAACCTACCAATAGGTTTTGGACAGATAGAGGGAATCAGAGCACCTGGAGGAAACCCACTCAAACACGGGGAGAACATACAAATTCCATACAGATCGTACCCTAGGTCTGAAATTGAACTGAATTCAATTCAATTCAATTTATTTTTATATAGCACCTTTCACAACAAAGTTGCCCCGAGGTACCTGACAGAGCTGTGTGAAAATACATGACATTACAATACAAAAAGAGAAAAAGTCAGAAGACAATGTAGGAGAGGAGCCAAAAACTCCTCTGTAAGGAGAAAAAAACCTCTAGGGGTCCAAGGTCAAATGGCTGCCCAACCCCTCTGGGCATGCTAAGATTATACAATTCTAAAATAAAGTACTAAATGTGAAGTATTAGATCTTCCATCATGTCCTTCTGTGTGCCAGTACTCCATGCAGATCTCTGTAGACCAGCAAATCCTTGAGGGGAGGAGAATCAGGTAGTTTGGTCAAAACAGATGTATCTACCTGGAAGGCCAACACTGAGACACACAGTGTAATGTACAGCAGTTCCACCAGCCATAGTTGGAGCGAGCTATGATGTAAGGTGTGAGTAGGCTAGGCTGAAGTAATAGGTTTTCAGTCTGGATTTAAATCCTGAGATTGACTCGGATTGTATGCATTAATCAACTCCATTAAATAGACAGGTACCTGACCTCTGAGAGCCTTATAAGTAAGTAAAATAATTTTGAAGTCTTCCCTGTACCTAACAGGAAGCCAATGGAGAGAGCTAAGTATAGGGGTTATGTGGTCGTACTTTCTACTCCTGGTAACAATTCTAGCTGCCGTGTTTATAATTCGCTGTAAGGTGTTGAAGGTATTAGAATCCGGTAGGGCTGATTCGGACCCTGTGCGGACTGGAGTGAAAATTTGAGAGAGTGTGAGTTCCGTTACCGAAGTCCAAATCGTAAGGCAATACCGTGGTCAAGAAGGAGGGCAGAGATACGTAATCCAGAGAGTCCAAAAACCAACTCTGATCCATGAGGCAGGTGCATAGTCGACGGGGAGGCTAAATTAGCAAACCAAGAGTCGGGAGAGATTTCCATATCCAAATCGTGAAGCAGGTCCGTGGTCGGTGGTAAGGCAGTATCCATAATGCAAAACGTTGCTAGACAAACAGGTGAAAGGAGTAGCTCTGGTGAGTGAAACTCCATAGTGAGCATGTAAAGGTGCGGCAGAAAGATTTAAGTAGGGACAAAAGGGAAAAGACGTTGGATTGCGGTGAACAATGCATGTTAGAATGTAGTGGCGAGTGAGTGGATGTGTGGTGACTCTCACAGAAGGTGCAACAGGTGCTCCCTTATAGTAGGGTATTACAGTAATCTAATCTGCTGTATACAAAAGCATGTATTAGTTTTTCTGTGTCTTGAGTGGAAAGAAAATACCTTAGTTTTGCAATGTAGGAAGCACACCTTCGATACTGCATTAACATGAGAGTTAAATGAAAGCCCTGTGTCTAAAATGATGCCTAAATTACGTGCCGAATCTCTAAGGCAAAGTTTTAAACCCTCAGAGTTAAGTGCTGAGGTTATAGCAGTCCTATCCACACTGTTGCCTCTAAACAACAGAACCTCAGTTTTATCAGAGTTGAGTGACAAAAATCCAAGACTTTACTTCATTAACGCAATTAGCTAAAGTGACAATTGACGAATTGTCATTATGTGTAAATGAAATGTAGATTTGAGTGTCATCAGCATAGGAATGAAACTTAATATTATGCTTTCGTATTATCCTACCTAGTGGCCACATGTACAGAGAGAACAATACTGGTCTTAGTACTGATCCCTGTGGTACCCCAAATTTGACTGGTGACAGTGACGAAGTGGTACAAATATTAGATGTTTGAACATAGTGAAAATGGTAAGTTAAATAGGAGGTAAACCACTTAAGGACGGTTCCACATAGGCCAGTGCCCCAGCACAACGATGCAGCAATGCTAACAACAGCACCACCAAGCTGTCTGCTTTAAGTAACATGTTTTCCAATTAAAAATGATAGTTTTTTATATAATTATTTCTCATCTCATCTGAGACATTATGCTAAAATGAAAACACTCTTTAATTGCGTCAGAACGTATCAGGTTCTAGATCAAAGTCGTTGTATAGATACAGCATTTAAACTGTTTAGGTAATTTTAGATAATATGCTACAAATTCAGTTTTTAATCTCTACATCTCTACACTATCTGGATAGTTCTAGAACAACAAACTAAACAAAAAAACTAATATGAGGAAAAAACTGAAACATCCCATCACAGTGTTTTATTTTCATTTAAATCTTATTTTTATATGTTTAGAATGTGTATTATTTGATGGTACTGTACATTAAGCATGTTGTTCAAGCTAAAAATCCCATTAAAATTTCAGATATTTCTTTTAAAGATAGTTTGTAACACTGGTTTTAAAAATGCAATAAAGTTAATATTTATCTCCTTTTTAAACTTTTTACTTTCAGATGGAACTTTCAGAGCCTGTCCCTGAGAGGGCATATAATCCATCCCCCCTAGATGTGTTTAGGACACCACATTTAAGGAAATTTACATTTATACTAATGTATGCCTGGTAAGAAAACCTAAGAATATTAAAATGGTTACAAACCAGAGGAAAGCAAAGGTCCATGTAGCTCGTTTGGAGAGTAAGTAGTTAATTGATCCAAAGATCTCTTCCAGTCATTTTTTAAAAGACGTTAGGGTATTGATTTCAACAATGTGTCTGGGTGGCTTGTTCCATATTCCCTTTATCCTCTATTGTTTAATAACAACTTCAAAGTACAGATATGTGGAAGCAAAGATCCAGTTTGATAAAATCTCATTTGCTGACTCACTGAATTGTTTATATTCACAAAGATTTCCAGCAAGAAAACATGCCTTTAAAAAGAAAAGTCAAAGGGTAATATTAAACCTTTGTTTAAATAAACACAATCATAATATTTACAAAACATAATGTCATGCTCTACCAATAAAGATCATGCTCAGACCTTTCAACTGCCTTTTAGAGATTTGAACATTATGTTGACCAGACAGCACTATAATTCTAGAGACATTCTGAGGCAACATAAGTTTTTAAAGTTGTTCCAGAACACAAAGAAATTGATTTGTACATTTAGCATTAAATAATTCCTAAATTCTTAGGAAGTTTAGTTAATGGAAATTAACATTACAACAGGATTATAATTATTATTTTAAAATATGTGATTTGTGTTTAATTATTATTTCATTTTATTATGAAAAATATTGTCTCATAATTGTTTAATGTTTTAATTGTTGATTACAGTACATCACCTTAATTTGCAATTTACTGCCCCATTTGCCTAAGACTGAGGAGTCCACATTCACTTCAGTCAAAGAAAAACTGGGAAACACTGTTCTGAAACTGCTCTGAATACTTTTATCACATTCTCATTATCTTGTTAAAAAGTACAGTATGTGGTAATTGTAACATGTAAAATGTAAAATCACATATGGCTCCACCATTTGAATTTAACATCAGTAGAATTGAAGCTGGCCGGTCTATTACAGAGGTGTACCATCTCTCTAACATACATTACTGTACAGTTAGCCTGAGTACGTAGGCCCCTGCCTGTATATCTGTCAGTAATGCTTGAAAAGCCCCATAGTGGCTGTGTGATTATAAAAGTCCTGGCTGAGGATTCCCTATTTTTTCCCCTAGCATTTCTTAACAGGATCAAAATGGCTATGCTTTTTCCTGCTTTGCAAGTCTTACACATCAAACACAAACAAGCACACTAATGTAAAAAAGGCACATATTTATTCATACAAGCATGCTATGCGTTCATGTAGGTTATAAACTACATTTTACACTGCTTTGAGAACAGTATTCTGTGATAAAACAAAAACGTTTTACTGTACTCTGCTTTTCTAATAATAATTACTTACATTTTATACAGTCTTTTATCTCAGAAGCTCTTAAATTGCATTACATATAAGAGAGTGACCTGGGTAATGCACAATAGCCATTATGTACCAGGAGCCCCACTACACAGCAATTTAGGGTTAGGCATGAAAAAAATTATTTAACAATTAAACTAAGGGAAGACATTATGAAGGCCATATAGTACAGGCCCAGAGTAGATCTCTTTTAGCCAGTGTCATGACACCTCAAATGACAGGTTCTTGATTTAAAATCTCATCCCAAGAACGATGCTATCTACCTCACAGTATCCCTGATGTTCTTACTGATTTCAAAGTTTGTGTCCAGAGGGAAGAAACCTACCAAGTTGTGTCACCTAGTTATCCTCCAATACCACAAGAAAGTTTTCCATGTCAATGTTAATACCAGTCTTGTTTAACTTAAGAGATGTGGAAAGATCAGGCTACAAGTGGTAACACTGCTGCCAGCATACAGAGCAATACATTTTGAGTGACCCATAATTACTGTACATGTGGTCATAACTTTATTTTGAAAAAAAAATTGCTTTTAGTATTTAAAAAATAAACATTTCTATTGTTTCACACTTGAAAACAAAGAGTACATTTGATGTTAACTGGTCTGAAGTCTGAAAAATATGTTTTGAGTTCTTTTGTCATTCCAGGTTTGCGAGTTCAGTGGTCTACCAAGGGCTAGTCATGCGTATTGGAATAATCAAGGGAAACTTATACTTGGAATTCTTCATCTCTGGAATTGTAGAGCTTCCTTCAGCATTGATATTTTACCTGACTATTGATAGAATTGGAAGAAGAATTCCATTTGTTTTATCCAACATTGTTGGAGGATTGTCTTGTTTAATAACAGCTTTTATACCAACTGGTGAGCTTTTTCAATTTTATTTTATGAACTGATTTTTAGAATTCCAGACATCTATTATTTTGTAGACTATGTTGCTCTTCTCAGAAAGGATTGATGTGATATATCATCATAATGTTTATATTATGCAGCTCACTTCATGTATAAAGAAATTAGAAGATGTCAATGCATAAAATGAAAACTTGTTGATAAAATTGAGAAGATGCTTTTTATCAGCATTTCATTGATATATGAATTATTTTATAAATACACCCCTTTACAATAGGAAGTATTGTATGTCTGCAAATCTGAGGTTAGGTAGAACAAGCAACAGCAAGATATTTGTATAAAGTTACAATGCAGATATCAGATAACATAAATTCAATTTTTTTGTCTATAGCTGTTTTCTAACTCAGAAGAAGTGCAGTGGTCGGAATTTCATAGAAGGAACAGATTTCTTTCAATATAATTATCCTAAATAAACCACTATTAAATGCTGATAATATTGAAATGTGTTTTTGGTTTGAAGTAATTCTTAACTCTTGAAGCTAATAAAATTAAACAAGAAATTCTGTCAATTCTGTAATTCATAATGATGTTTGTCACATGTCACAAGGCGTAGCTGTACACTATACTCCTTACAAGTGGTGATAAAGGTGTGCTTTTGAAACGGTACCCATACTGAGAAATTTCAATAAAAAATTCAAAAACTTTCACTTAGAAGATACAACATCTTCTTATTTCTTTGAACTAAATTTAGGCCACATTACCTAAATGGTTATCTTATATGTATGACAAAAGGCATGCCAAAAACATAAATACAGTACATTTAATCCATAGTCAAATACAATCATAAGGCAGAGAGACAAGAGCCACTCTTGTCAGAGCAGAACACAGAGCTGGAGAGTCCAGCACCCTTATTCAGTGAAAATAGACAGATCAAACTCTGATCTAGTCATACATAGTCATACTGGTGACATACAGTATTCCTACCACTGCACATTGGTGGTGGTGGAGGGGAGTCCCCATTACCTGCAAAGCGCTTTGAATGGAGTGTCCAGAAGAAGCGCTATATAAGTGTAAGCAATTATTATTATTATTACCAAAATATGTAAGATAAAAGCATGTTTACAAAATTAAAAACCACCACCAATAACAACTTAATAAGAGTCAGATCTTTCACTTGTACAGCAAACTAATTACTTTCACCCCCAGCAATCTAAAATTGAAATGCAATGCACAACATATATACTGTATATTCTCTACAGTTCGGAGGATTGAATAGGCAACATAAATCCAGTATAGCTAGCAAAGCTCTTGAGTGCCCTCTTCTGTTTTCTAAAAAACACTGCATTTTTAAATAATGTCCAGTGTCCCAGGAAACTCCTTGTTTCTTTTGATTTTTCTGAGTTAAATTCACATATTAATTGAATAAACAACTATTTGTACAATTAGATCTATATATATTAATTAACAAAAGGACAAATAATACTCAGAACTTATTTGTAAGCATTCATTATCAAGTAAAACAAAATAGTTTTCTTTATAAATATATCTGTGCTTTTGAAGCAGTAGTATCCAAAGTAATAAATGCATCAGTCTGATTCAACTGAATGAATTGATTAATGTATTTGTTTTAATTTATTTTAGACATGACATGGCTAAAGACATTCATAGCAGTAATTGGAAGGCTTGGGATAACACTTGGTTATGAGATTGTGTACATTGTCAGCACTGAGCTCTATCCCACTCCTTTAAGGTAATGTTTAATTCTGCAATATTTTTATATTTAGTAGATATGTGCATATTATACATGAAATTACTTCTAAGAAACCCATAGAGACCGTAGTGCTACAGTATGCTTATGTTTATAACACGAGCCACTTTTATACTGCAGAACTGGAACAGCATTATACAGTTATAATTATTCTCTGACTTTAAAGGGTAAAAGCTACAGTATATTTTATTCAGATAGTTTCTGTTTTGTATAGTTAGTTTTCTGTTACTACTTGGGTGTTTGTTTTGAGAAAGTTAAAGATATGATAAAGCAATAAAGACAGTAACAATACTTTCACCAGATGAAGCCCATTGAGATGTTTTACTAAGTTTGACACTTGAATAAGTTTGAAGTTGAAGTTGTAATGTAAATGTATGACAATGCAGAAAAAAAAACTGAAAAATATTTTTTGGAACCAAGTATGTGCTTAATTATTCTAGATGAATGTTGTTTAGCCATTGTTTGCAGATATAAGACTTAACTGAAAGGTGCAGGGCTGGTGGAAACTGTGGTAAGTAATGTCCTAAGAAAGCAGACCCTGGAAGGTGGTTTCCATCATCAGAATTCCATTCAGTGAAATCTGGAATATAAGTGCAGTTTCAATTAGAAAAAAAATGTTACAAATTAAAAATAAACATGAAACAATATACAGTAATTAAAGGTGGTATATATTTAGATTTCTTCTTAATTTGCTTTTTTTTTTCAAAACAAACCTTTATCTATAATGTAGTCATAATCACATCCTTGATCCATAGTTAAGTTACTCCCTGCTTACTTTTCAATATCACTGCCTACTTCATTTTTATAGAGTTTCCTCATCTGGACAACACAATAGAACTACTATGTGGCCATTCCAGCAAGTAAAAAATGGGGAATATATCAAAATAGAAATATTAGAAATTAATATTAATTAAGGTTAATTAATATCACTTACAGTAAGTGAAGGAAAGTGTTATAGTGCCCTGACACCAATGCTAAATTAACAGTACTACTGTATACTGTATGTTTCTTAAATTGAAACATGTACTGTATAAACAGAAATAATGTAGTAATTCAATGGAACCAACATCTGATTATTGGCAATAATGTTCTCTATTAATAACAATGCTTTTCCTTACTGATATGGTTCATTCTTGGTTGATATATATCTAAGAAATGTGTCACAATCAGAAAACGTCCTGGACAAGTAAATTCTAGATGACAGAAGTGGTCTCTTAACATATCTATATATAAAGAAACATTTTGGATACAGTATGTTCTTGAAGCTGAAACTCTAGCTTTTGAATGGTTAGATTAGATCTTTAGATCAATTAGCTATTAAAAACCAAAAAAGGTCCTCTTGTTTGTAACTGTTGTTCTCATATTCTTAATCAGGATTACCATGTGAATTAAGACAGGATTTTGTTTAATTACAATGCGGATGATTATACAGAAGCACAAGTAAATAATTTTTCCTGTGGTATATCATAGATATGAGATACAAAATTATCTTGTTATTATGATATATTAAATTATCTTGTAATTAAAATATACTAATGATCATTTGAGTGCATAAACAACCTATTACTTTAGGCAATGACAGCACCTAGAAGCCACTGAAAGCTCAGTTGGAACTTTGGCTTTAGTGTTTATAACAATGTCCAACACTGCAGAATGTGCCCTGCTTTCAAATGGGGTTTAGTCATAATGTAATATTACAATTTGTACCCTAATGTGAGCATAATCCTAATAAGCATGAGGACACTCACAGTTACCCTTAAACAAGAAAAAGTGTACCAATTCTTTAAAACTGCTTAAAACTTAAAACTGAAAGCCAATTAATGATAATGCACTGTACTGTAGGTATTGTTTGAAAAAATACACTATTACATTATTAACACTTGACGTACATGAAAATGTACCATATTACAAAATAATTTTCACAGAATTATGAGATAACACCTGACCTTTTTTTTCTTCATGGCAGCAATGTGCCTTTTATGATTTTATCTTCCTTTTAATAATTCTATAGATTGACTTATATCCAATGTACCACTGTAGCAAAATAATGTTTGATAATCAGTTAACATCCTTAAAATGAACATAGAATTGTCTGTGAGATTTCTCTATTTCAGTGTGAAGACTGAACATCTACTGTATGTACTGATAATATCGTGCACATTGTAGAAACTCATACACCCTTCCAGCTTTGATAAAAAATATTTGACTGCATGAAATATTATCTGAATGCAGCATTTTGTCACATAAATGGAGAATAAAACTTCAAAATAAATTAAACTTGCAAAAAAAATAGCCATCAAATAAAACTAAATTGCATGAGATTATACATCATAAAAATTGTCTTAAACCAATCTATCCTGACAGACCTGCCAAAGCAGGAATCACTGTCTTCTCAGACATATCTCTCGTGTGGTAGTACGGGACCAGGCAACTCCTATTAATTCTCACTAAATTGGTCTTGTGTTAGTATTAACAAAGTCTTGGGAGTATAATATCCTAAAAAGTGGAAAGATGGGAAACTTTCCACTTTTAATTAAGGTATTAAGTAATAATTAGATTAAATTAGTTAAAATGCAGTGACCATGTCTCCTAAACTGAAAAGAGAACATCTGCCCCTCCGACACGTTAGTTGTTTTTTAAACTTAAAATTGTTCTGTCACATTTTTTTCTGTGATTGAGCCTCACAGGTTTTCATGGATATAGTTTTTTAAAAGAATCAGGACTTCCAGGATGCAGCTTAAATATAGGACTGTCCTAGAAATAACGGAATGTGTGTTTGCCTTCAGTTAAATTCATTAGTTTAGAACTAAGAGCGGAAAAAAAAACAGAAGGATTGAACTATTGCATTCCCTTCTTAATTCCAAGTGTTACCAGAGAGACATAAATGTAGTATCTTAACTGTCTGAAAAGAAAGCAGAAAACTCTTTTTGTCTTTTATATGAGCTAAAGTGATATCGTATAACCATTTAAACCTCCCATATGAAGACCTTTTCTCTTGGTTTATACCTATATGCTGTAGCACATTCAGGTTCTTTCAGAACAAAAGACTAGTGGAGAAACGATAAATTAACAAAGCCACTGCTTTATTCTCTTATCAAAACCACACAAAACCAAACACAGGATATGGACACACATGAGGAGACTGACGAACACGTACACATATTTAGGGTGGTAATTACTTAACAACAGGCTATACACTTATAAGGCTACACAGGACACTAAAACTACAATGACACTATTTACATATGCAGGGTCAGCTGCTGGTCATCGTGCTGACCCTCAGACTCCCCCAGCTACAACTCCCAGTACTATGAGTGCCTAGGTGCGCTTCCTCCTCACCACCGGGCGAGGGCGTTACACTGCCCTACCTGAAGCGTCTTACGTCCCAACAACGTCAAACATCCCCCTCAGGCTGTACTCATACTCGGCTAAAGGCTGTGGAACTCTGTGTGAGCGGCTGTTGTGCCGCTGTGGTGGCTGGCGGCCCCGCGGGGAACGTCCTCTAGGACCCAGTAGGGGGCCAGGCGGTCTCAGTGCAGGACCACCACTCTCCCCCGTGTTCGCAACCGGACCTGGTAGTAGACCTCGCCCACCACCCTGAGAACCTCAGCGGGCCCCTCCCAAAATGGCGCCAGCTTAGGGCTGGGAGGCAGGCCCCCTACAGCGCAGGTCGTAGTGCCACTTCTATCAGACTACCGCCTGAGTCAGGTGGGTCCAGGCAAAGCTGTGCACATGCCACATCCGCTCCCGCAGGTCCCACTCATAGTCCGATCCAGATGGCGGTGCCGACGCGTCTCCGGGCGGTCCCAGTCCCATTGGCGCCGGGACACCAGCATGGCCAACTGGGTGGCGAGCGTCCGATTATACAGCTCCACTAACACGTCGCTCTGGGAATACAGCAGGGTGGTCCGCGTCTTAGAGATGCCCATGCTCTTGCACACTCTGGCGAAGACCTGGGACTCAAAGGTACGGCCTTGGTCACTGTGTAACTCCTCTGGCACCCCTAGCCTGGCAAACATCCCCTCCAGTAGTGCATCGGCCACCGTGGAGGCACTATGGTCCGGGAGGGCATAGGCCTCCGGCCACTTCGTAAAATAGTCCATTGCCACCAGGACATAGTGGTTCCCTGCATCGGTGCACAGAAACGGGCCCAAAACGTCCACCCCCACCTGGTGTTGTTGGAGGGGGACCTGAAAGCGCTTGGGGGGACCCTTCTGCGCCACACACACCGAACGCATTTGGCAATACCGCTCCACGTCCAAGTAGCAAAGACCCCAATAAAAATGGTCTCGGAGACGCTGGAGGATTTTTTTAAAGCTGAAATACCCCACGCCCGACTAGCCATGCCCCGCTAAGAGCACAGCCCCGTGGAGTGACTGTGGCACCACCAGCTGCCACTGGAGAGTGCCCGCCACCCCCGGCGCAGCACCCCATCCTTTACTTCCAAGGCCTCTCACAGGGCAAAGAGGGCCTTGACAGACTCTGGGTGCAGGCCGAGCTCATCTCGCTTAGGCCGCTTTCCAACGGAGCACAAGCTCCACGTCAGGATCAGCCACCTGTCGCTGCGCCAGGTGTGACAAGCCCATCCCCAGCAGCCTCTCCAGGGCTGTGGCCGTGGCGCTCGCCTCTGCTGCAGGGCATACGGCCTCCTCGCGTTGCTCCCACCGGGCGCAGTAGCGGCAGTCCGTGGCGTCACAGGGGTGCGGTAAGAGAGTGTCAGCAGTACTCCTGTAGGACCTCTATCCGTCGCTCCATCTGCCCCTCTGGCTCCTTAAAGTGGAGCAGTCAGGTGAGGGAAGCATGGTCCGTCCACAACCGGAACCGGGTCCTGAATGGCCTGAAGTGGGGGACTGCCGCCATCACCACCAGCAGCTCGCGATGGGTCACTCAGTAATTCCATTCAGCCTTATTCAAAGCCCGACTGTAGTAAGCAACTACATGCTCCCCATCTGGCCGCTCCTACGCCAACACTGCACCCACCC